CTACTATGGAAGTCGATGCCACCCCTCCTTCCAAGCTAACAACAGTACTATAACAAAAATAAAGAAATGAAAATTAGCCACTCAGACTCAACAGAAACTACATTATAAGTATTAAAAAGAAACCCAGATAATGTCAAGGAAATAGAAGACAGAATCAAACACTATGGAAAAAATACCACAACAAAAAACCAAAATAACCCTCTCCTACTAAAACAGACCAAATCTCAGACCAAAAGAAAATACCAGAGACAGAAAGAAACACACACACACACACACACACACACTGAAGTTCCAAGAATTGGTACTGAAGAAATTACAAATGATGGAAGAAGAATAAGAAATTTTAAGAGAATAGTTTTTATGTTAGGTTAGACGCCATCAAGTCAAGTACAACTCATAGTGATCCTATGAGTAGTAGTTCTGAACCCTTTTCTATCCTATGCCGTCCTTATCATCTCTAACACATTTGAACGCTTTGCTGCAATCACTGTCAGTCCATCTTGTCAAGGAACTTCCTCTATTTTTCTGACCCTCCACCTTTCCAAACATGATATCCCTCTCTAAGGAAAAGCCTCTCTTAGCAACATACCCAAAGTATGTAGGAAAAACTTGACCATCCTTTCTTGCAAGGAGTATTCTGACTGCACTTTCCCCAAGACACATATGATATTTCTTTTGGCATTTGATAGGATATTCAGTACTCTTCTCCAGACCACAGTTTAAAGGCATTATTTCTTCTTCTGATACATAAAAAGTGATTGACATACCAAGCCTGTATAGTACTCACCTTAATCTTCAAAGTGGCATCATTTTTTCTCAGTAATTTGGACAGTTCCCTGATAGCCTTATGCAGTACATTTCCTGATCTCCTGATTGCTGGTACCAAGGTGTGTTGGAGTCAGTGAGACTGACTCAGGATAAGGCAGGTTTCAGAGCTGTTGCACCTAGAGTCACTATGAGTCGAGGGTGACTTGATGGCACTTAACAGTAACAAAAATTATGCCAAAGTATCTCTCTCTTCCTCATGTCCCATCTATTATCTATCTATCTATCTATCTATCTATCTATCTATCTATCTATCTATCTAATATCTGTATTATGCAGATGACACAAACTTGCTTGCTGAAGCTGAGGAGGACCTGAAGTATCTGCTGCAGAAGGTCAAGGACTGTAGCCTTCAATATGGATTGAAGCTCAACATCTAGAAAACAAAGATTCTTACCACGAGGCAAATTGGCAGTATCATTATGGATGGTGAAGAGATTGAGATTGTTAACAGTTTTAGTTTACTTGGCTCCACAATCAACACCCTTGGTACCAGCAACAAGGAAATTATTGCTCTCGGAAAGTCAGCTGTCAGGGACCTCACCTGAGTACTGAAGAGCAATGACATCATTCTGGAGACTAGAGTGTACCTGATCCAGACCATAGTCTTTGCAATTGCTTGCTATGTGTCAGAGAGCTGGACAATGACTAGGGATGGTAGAGAATTGATGCCTTTGAGTTGTGGTGCTGGAGAAGAATATTGAATATATAATGGACTGATAAGCGAACAAACAGGTTCATCCTGGAGAGGGTAAAACTGGGCTGCTCTTTGGAGACAAGGATTCTGAAGCTTTGTCTGACATAATTTGGACATGTTACAAAGAGGGACCTGTCCTTGGAGAGGGACATCGTGTTTGGGAGGGTGGAAGGAGAACACAGGAGAGGAAGACCCTCGATGAGATGGATCGATTCAGTAACTGGGGCATTGGGGGTGGGTGTGTCATAGACAATAAGGCTAGCATAGGGTAAAGCAGGGTTTAGGACTCTTGTACATAGGGTCACTGTGAGTCACAAGTGAATCAAAGGCACATGTTTATCTCTATCTCTATCTCTATCTCTATCTCTATCTCTATCTCTATCTCTATCTCTATCTCTATCTCTATCTAACAAGGAATCAAGGGTGGAGGCCTAGTAAAGAGTGTGTCTTTAAAACTCCATAGTGAAGAGTTGAGTCCAGGCTACCCTGGAAGCTCCAGAGTAGTGGTTCTACTCTGGAAGCTGGTTTCTCGCGTTGTGATGGGGATCATGTAAGGAAAGTTTTGGGTTGTGTTTGTGATACTGATATTTTTTCCTTCACAAGTGGGTATCAGTTGGCCTTTGGTCCTTTTTGGCCAACAAGGAACCAAGGACAGAGGCCTGCTAAAGGGTGTGTCTTTAAAGTGAACATTCTTTAGGTGGCACAGCAATTTTATTTTCTTGTTTGTGCTGAATAACTTGGAGTTGCTGTGATGCTGAACACTCTGCCATAGTCATATCAAGTATCATAATGGTTACCCAGTATGGACAGTTTTTGGAAGAGCTTCTAGATTGGTTAAGGTTTGGAAACAGGAGTGGCATCCACTTCCTAAAACCAATGCCCCTGGAGACTCTATGAACTTGGAGAAGTGATGATAGTTGTGGAAAGGCATTAGGTCTTTTGTTCTCAGAGTCGCTATGAGTTGTACTCAACCGCAATCAACAAATATATATATTTATAATCACCAACATCTCCTAGCCTTTTTAATTTTGAGACCTTGTAGATAACTAATTTCAGTAAAACTTTCTTAACAATTTGGTTGAAGGACCAATATCAGGGAACAGATCCTGGAAGAGATTTGGGAATAATGTAATCTGTGCTAAATGGTTAGCTAAAGAAGCAATTTCTGGGAACTCAAGAGAAATTTTTTAGTCCTTTAGATGTTTTTCACATGAATAAGCTTCAATTTAAGTGTAACTTGTTTGTTCTCCTCAGTTGTATATCAAAAAAATCTGGTCCTTATTCTTGCATTATTACATTTAAGAAGACATTTAATTTTATTTTTTCTAAAATAAATACCTCTAATGCTGTTAAGGAGTTAGCACATCTCTAGATTAATTCTAGTGTGTCTTCCTCATCATCTTTGCATGTCCATGAATAGCATTAAACCTCTTTCAATCCTTTGAATAGAGTATGTACCTGTAACATAGGCTATGCGTTTCCTAGCAAAAAAACACACCACCTCTTCCTTATTTTCAACTCAAAATCAGAGATAACATTCCCAACTCTATTGTCTTACTTGCATTTTTATTAAAGTTCCTGTATAACCTGGTCTATGCATAAAACTTCTCATATTGTAATGAAATATTTTAGAACTATTTATGCCACATTAGTCCTTAACACAAGTCAGTTCTGACTCAATGACAGTGAAATAGAATTGGAATATTGATTTCTTGAATATTCTGTCTTGTTCACTGCTATAAACCCTCACTTCTTGGAACAGTGCTTTGCATATAGAAATATTTCACATGTTTGTGACCTAAAGAAATATTGGATAAATTTACTATTATTATTATTATGACATTATTAATCCTTCTAGTATGCAAAATTATTCCTCATAAAAGCAAATATATTTTAAGGTGCATACACACACACACACACACACACACACACACACACAAATCTCCTTTAATAATGAATCCTATTTTTCAGAGAAGAAATTAAACTCTATAAATGTACAGAAATGATGTTAGTTATAGAACAGAGTTCAGGTCTTTTGTGCAAAGGTCGCTGAGTCTTATTCGACTTGACGATATTTAACCACCACTAATGAGACTAGTGTAATATCTTGAGGAACATGTTTTTACTTTGTACATCATTCTTTGTCAATGTGTACTATGAAGTACCCTGTGTTTGCTGTGATGCTAAACCTTGTGCCATTGGGGTATCAAATACCATAATGGTCTCCCCAGTGTAGACAGTGTTTGGTAGAGCTACCGGTTTTAAAAGAGATTTGAAAGCAAGAGTGGTACCCATTTCCTAAACCACATGCCTCTGGAAACTCTATGAACTTGGAGAAATGGCAATAGTTATGGAAAGGCATTAGGTCTTTTGTTCATAGAGTCGCGATGTGTCATGCTTGACACAACAGCAATCAACAACAACAACAAAGTAAAGTGACTTGATGAAGGCTACAGAGCTAATAATGACAGAGTCTAGATTTAAATTTTTATGATAAATTCAGTACTATTTCCACACCTGAGCTTCCATAATTTCATATTGTTGTGAGTGGCTAGTCTAGGGTATGCCCAAGTAGGTTTGGCTTGTCAAAAATATGATTGTGTACGTTTCTTATAATTCAGAATACTTCTAATATAAAGCCACTGACCTATATTCCAATTATTGTGTCATACAGGAGTAAAAAAGATATGAAGACAAGCAAAAAGTGGATTTTTTTTATTTGTGTATTTAATGAAAATGTGTGTATTCTCAGGCAGTCATACAATTTTAAGTAGGGATAAACCACAAATAGTCAAGGCAAGGGCCAAGGTGTTTTAGTGTAACAATCCACCTGAGAAGAAGAATGTTAAGTGGCAGTATTTCCCAGAGTTGCCTCAGGTTGAGAATTATCTGGGGCATTTATTATAAAGAAAAGTTCCCAGTCATTTCCTCAGTGTTTTTGTGGTCAGACCTAAAACTAGGGAGTGGGGGATGAAATGCACCAAAATGGAAAAACACATTCTGATTTAACATTACTGTTGAACCCTTTGTGACAAAGCAGTTTCAGGTAGGAATAAGGATGGCTAACTCTGAAGTTTTATGATTAACTTGACCTGAGCTGAGAGGGTACTATTTTAGAACACCTAGGACTTACACTGCTGGATCTTCTTTTCTCGGGATAGAGGTTGCAGATTAGCTGGTGAGGTTCTCATGAAAAGTTTAAGTGAGTGGTCATGGAAAGAAGTTCAACGTTTCTGAAATTCTCAGTCAAGGTGATAGCTTGCAGGCTTCTTTATAGGTCTTGATAAAGAGCCTTTTTGAAGGCATGCCCCCTTTTCACTGACTCTACTTTTCTGTTTTGTCCTTCTGATAATTTACCCAAATACACTTCTCAGGAGCTTTCTGGGTTGTACTTGGAAAATATAGTTATTCTTCTGGTAGTCAGCAATATATTCAATATTCTTTTATAATATAATTTAAAACATCAATTCTGCTCTAGCTGCCATCTTGCGTCCCCTTGTGTGCAACCTATCTCAGCTGGTCTGCCAAAAGACCCCTTGAGTGCCAGCCCTAGTCTCCCGTGTGGCCCCATTTCCTCCCTGATGAAAGAAACGATCATGAATCAGGAGATACTTGCCAAACTGCAGGCACAAGTGCGCATTGGTGAAAAAGGAACTGCACGCAGAAAGAAGAAGGTGGTTCATAGAACAGCTACAGCAGATGACAAAAAACTTCAGTTTTCCTTAAAGAAATTAGGGGTAAACAATATCTCTGGTATTGAAGAGGTGAATATGTTTACAAATCAAGGAACGGTGATCCACTTTAATAATCCTAAAGTTCAGGCATCTCTGGCAACGAACACTTTCACCATTATGGCCATGCTGAGACAAAGCAGTTGACAGAAATGTTACCCAGAATCTTAAACCAGCTTGGCGCAGATAGCCTGAGTAGTTTAAGAAGACTGGCTGAAGCCCTGCCCAAACAATCTGTGGATGGAAAAGCACCACTTGCTACTGGAGAAGATGATGATGATGAAGTTCCAGATCTTGTGGAGAATTTTGATGAGGCTTCAAAGAATGAGGCCAACTGATTTGAGTCAACTTTTGAAGAAGATAAAACATGACGAAGTTACTTTGAGCTGCTGTTTTATATTATGACTGCTTTTTAAAATTGTTTTGTTTATGGATCTGATAAAATCTAGATCTCTTATATTTTGAAGCCCAACAAGCCTTTTGGACATTGCAGCTCTTTTCAGTTTCTGCTTAAATAGAATTCATTCTTTGCAGCTAAATAAGCTGAAGAAGCCTGGGAATAAAATTTGAAACAAAGGTTAAAAAACAAACAAACAAAAACAAAACAAAACAAAAAACCCAACCCATCAATTCTTCATTATCACTCTTTTATTTTGTTTTGCTTTAAACTGTGTTGTTGTTATGTGCCATTGAGTTGCTTGCGACTCATAGCGACCCTATGTACAACAGCCCTAAATCCTGCTCTATCCTGTGCCAATCTCACTGCCTCTGACACACCCATCCTGATTACCCCAGTCACTGAATCAATCCACTTCATAGAGGGTCTTCCCCTTCTGTGCCGTCC